CAGGAGGGAACACATTACAGGAAGATATTACTGAATTCAAACAACATGAAAAAGCTGTTAAAACACATCATGCTCCTTCTTCGAAACCACATTATCTTTTTCCTAGTCTAATGAAAAATACCGTCCTGTAACTAAAATTTCTAAAAACATCTCACGGAACTACTATCTGTTCAAAAGCAAAAGCTGTTCCAGAATAGTGACCACCACATGTAAAAACTGCAAATGCCACTCAGCTTGTTTCCATTATATAATACAACCGTGACCAATATTCTTTAGAGATTTGCTATAGTAATTTATTACTTTATTGAGGTCTGATGCAAAACCTATTAAAGTCAGTAGAAAGACATGTTTTGAAAAGGCCTTGGATTACACACTTTTACTGTAAGATACAAATCTAGGACTGCTAAGCCATACCAACCTGCTTAGAATTTTTTATCAGGAAACACTAATACACTACATTGCCATACAAAGAGATAGCAGTCATAAATATATCTGATTTTTCAGTACTTAGACACAGTAGTAACATCTTATATTTTTCTGAATAATATTTTGAAGATGCTTTCTGGTACTTAGCTGAAACAAATTTTTGTAGCTCGTACATGCTATTTTGTTTGCCTCTCTGGTCACATTTATGCCACTTCTTGCTCTCCTCCAAGAGCATCTTATAAACGCTGGAGGAAGCAATGGAAATAGTATCCCTAAACGTCATAAGCTTTTGAAAGCCATGCTTTTCTAATTATAGAGCATTCAAATGTCTGCACACCACAAGTGAAACAGGAGGAGTGACCTCAGGAATGTGTATGCTGTTCCTTGGACAAACAAAACATAGCGTTAGCTTATATGATTAAAGGCCCAAACACACAGAGTGAGGAGCAGAAGAACCCCAGTAACCTCATCAGTGAGAACCTGAGCACACTGAGAATCAGCTGCTCCTAAGATGATGAAGGAGAATGACTGCAGCAGTGTCCCTGTGTGAAATCCACTAAGATGAGCCAGGAAAAGCAGCTCTCCCTTGCGAATTAAAGGGGTTCTTGCCTAGAAGTGTTTAAAACTTAGCAGATCTGGCAGTAAAGCATTTTGGGATATAGAGATTTTCTTTGTTAATAGTGGGTTGGGTGTCTTTCTGAGACTGTGTCACATCTTCTGCCTCTCCTTTAGCATAAAGCCATTACAGTGCAGCAGCAAGGAATGCTCTAAGGCTTCGCAGAAAGAGTAGTAATAGTAGCACAGATATACCATACCACCCCCCACTCCCCTAGTTTATGTAAGATTCAGTCATTTGCCACAAGACATAGACTTAAAAGAAAAGATAAAGCAAAAACTGTTTCAAATAGATATATTCCTGTTCTCCACTAGTAAAGCTGAAACTGTTTTCCTTGAAATACAATTCTTGGAAATTTGACTACAACAAAATATTTAAAGGTCCTTTATAGTTTGATCCCGGACTTCAGCTTGATGCTTATGCAACAGTTTTTCTATTGCCGACTATCACCCTTTCCCAATAAGCTTACAGTGGTTCAGAGTGTGCCTGCATAATGTGAATACAAGTCAAAACTTGAAAACAAAAAGGATATGACACTTAAACACACATTTATATATGTACATTTAGGTAGAACACATACCTACAATATTATATTACACACTATAGTTAAAGTTAGGAATACACCTTCTTTCCCCTACAGCAATGCATTAATTAAAAGAAAGCAGATTTGTTGACTTTTTTTTTTTTGAATATTAGAATACAGGCAGAATTTGATGATGTCATCCAACTGAAATAGTTGAAAAAAAAAAAATCCATATGCTGAATTGTACGTTTAGGAGAACTGTAACAGTTTGGTTTGTTTTTCTGAACTTCTGAAACAAATGCCTTTTAGTTCAGTAAGCAACAGAAAATTTTTGGGTTAGCTGGAAGCTGATCTCAGGTTTCCTGGCTACTATCCAAAGTTAAACAAACAAACAAACAATTCTGAAAGAGTTGTACTAAAGTGTAAAAAATTATAAATGTCCAAATCAGTTTCTTTACCTTCATCCTTCCAATAGCATTTGAAACCTGTGAACAAAGTAACAAAGTTTTCTGCTTCTTCAAAATGTCATGAGAGAACTGAGAGGCTGAAACACCGAATTAGGAAAGTTGCTTAAAAACAAACCCAAGAAAAATAATCATTCAGCCCTTGCCTTGCTGACAGGTTAGATAATAACCATTTCTGGTGCTACAGAGGACTTGTAGATAGACTGGCATTTCAATGGAAGGAAAAACCACCCCAGACCATATGGTTCCCTTAAAACAAAAGCCTCTTGGGTTCACGACCAACATTTCAGCCAGCCCTTAGGTAAGAAAAAGCAACAACAAATCATACTGGGGATTTACTGACAGGTGTCAGCAACAATGGTGATTGTTAGAAAAGACTATATAAAAATTCTTTCACTACTATACTTCACAATATATGTAAAAATACTTTCTTCAAACATAAAACAAAGTCACTTTCTTAGAACTGGTTCTCATGGCCAGGGTACAGAGCCTAATCCAATTTCCACTTAAGCAGTATGGAAACTCTTCCACTTCAAGTAAAAAACTTGCACCCCCTCTGTATTCCTGCTACTTACTATGGCAAATTGATAGCATTGTACTTGCAAAACACTTCACCACCAAAGGCAGAGTTTTGTAATACAGCTTTAAAGCACCTTAGTCAAACATTAGGTTACCAGTTTTCTAGCAAAAGCTCTGAACCGCTGAACATGAATGAAAACAATCCATTAGCAGATACATAGTTCTGGTTCAGCGGCCACTATTACAAATTGAGGGACCAACAGTAACTTCAAAAGACTCTGAATCAGACTTCAAGAGCATAATATTCTCCTTAATATTATATATTTCCAAGACAGAAGGCTTCAGACAAGTCTTTACAGAGAAATCATAAAAGTAGGAAAGTGATTCACCCTGCTTGAAATGGTTGACATTTAATTTTTACAGTTTAGATATTCAACCATTATCTACCACTTACTATAAAATGTAAATTGGTATGTAGCAGAAAAACTCCAGCATGGTTTTGTGGTTGTTTTCTTTTCTTTATGTATATACAGATTAGAGAGAGGCACATTCTTTGTTAGAAATCAGCATGAAACTTTTCTGTAGGAACTTGAACACTTCCTTTCACAGAAATTTTTCCATGAAACCATGATCTTTATATAAGGCGGTCATATCTAGTTAAGCAAAACACTCAATTTGCATAAAATTAGAGCTGCACTTAGTTTAAGATGTATTTTCAAAATACATGTGTCATAAATGCCATTACAGAAAAATAAGCAAGATACTTCTTTTACAGCTCAGAGACAGAAACTATTAATTTTGACATTCCTTTAAAATTGAATAAGGGCACAAAAGGAACTTGTAACTGTTAGTCCAAAATGATCTAGCCATTCTAACAGTATGTACAGTGCAAAGAACTTCTTGCAGTAACAGTACAAAGTAACACTAGCTCTTTCAAAAGACTCTAAAAATTGTTGCTCATTGCTCAGAATGGCAAACATCCAACATATTCACAATTGGCAACAGAGTCTAGAGTGTTACAGTATTATTGCTGCTACTGTAATGAAGAGAAATGAGGTTGTGGTGATAAATTTTCAAGTTA